GCAGCGAACTTTCACCCTCTCCACTTTCTCCCTTATGGCCAGTGGCGTGCCGTCAACTAAGCGTGCGTCGATCTCCGATAAACAGCGGCTAAGCGTCAATTGCAGCTTCCGTGCATTTGAGGCATTAACTAAAAATCTTCACTGCTACCCCTGTATTTTCTCGTAAATCAGTATTCGGCAATCCGGCACTGTACCCTCCTTATTCATCCAAGCCTGATTGATAACGTGAATCGGTGCTGTGACTCGGGGAGGGTCATTGAGGTCAGGCGAGCAGTGAGTCTCGTCAGTAATGGGCCCGATCTCTACTGACTGTTGGCGTTCCCTGCCTCCCAGACTCCCTCCCCTACTGTGCTCTACGGCGTCTCAGCTCCTCTGTGCATTCACTCTTGCGATGGCCCGGCCTATTGCAAGCAAAGCAGCGCCCTTGAATGGCGCAGCAGCTGAGTTTGCCGCAACGGCATGTACGGTGGCGTGCTCGGTCCCCAAGCATGATGTCCGTAGTAGGACCCCGGTCTCAGACAGCGCAAAATGTCAATCTTCTCGGCGAGCGCGAGGATTTTAATGAAATTTGATAGCATGCGAAGCATGATCTCGTGCGAGATGTCTAGCTGCAGTCCGCCGACGTAACGGTCCACTCGCTCTGCCTCGTGCATGTAGCCGACTTGCTCGCACAGAGCAAGAAATCCGCTGGTGTAGTATCTTACCGGCCCGAGCTGCCGTCAAGTGCGCAGTCTCTGACGCGCCGAAATTGAAGCCACGATCAGCTCGAAGCGCACCCGAAGCCGCGCGCACCACGCATCCCACGTGCTGTACTCGGCGGTTTTGCAGAACGAACTCCAGGTGACGGCTGGACCCGTGGGCCTTTCTTCTTACGACGGCGGCTCGTAGGCGCGTGGCAACGTCACAATGACTTGCCACCAGTCCATGGCGGGCCCCTGTAGCAGCGAAACAGCGTATCGTATATTCGCTGTGTCTGACTCGACGTAATTCGCGTCAAAAAAGACGTTCATCATGAAGACCCACGATTGAACTATCGGACCTTAACGTTGGCTAGGATCGAAGCAGGATGGGCGCTGCGGTTTGAGCGGCATCAGTGCGACGATGTGTTAGAATGTATCTGTAACTGCCTGTAGCTGTAGTTTAGTGTAGCTATTATAAACTGTTGGTGGTGCACCTTCTTTGCATGCTCTATTTGCTATATGTACCCTATTGCTATAGTGAACATTCATTCTCCTCTCCCTCCTTGGCACAAACTAGCTCGAATCCCCTTGGCCTAGGCTACTAAGCCTAGACCCTCACTTAAACCTAGTCCTCCACTATTGCTATTATCTCGACATGCTATCAGAGCCTGTTAAGTCCTGGCTTGTGGGCCAGCCTCTCGCTTCCGCTGCTGTTTTTCCGGTCGCGCGCCTCGGGCGCGTGGCGATTTTCGTTCTGTCCCGCGCCCGGGTGGCGCGTGACGTTTTTTCTGCCCGTCGCGGATCCGCCCCTGGCGCCCGCGACGGCGCCTTGAGCTACCGCGGACCCACCCCTAGCGCTCGCGACGGTGCCCTGAGCTGTCGCGGACCAGCCCCTGGCGCCCGCGACGGTGCCCTGAGCCGCCACAGACCTGCCCCTGGCGCCCGCGGCGGTGCCCCGAGCCGCCGCGGACCCGCCCCTAGCGCCCGCGACGGTGCCCTGAGCCGCCGCGGACCCGCCCCTGGCGCCCGCGGCGGTGCCCTGAGTCGCCGCGGACCCGCCCCTGGCGCCCGCGACGGTGCCCTGAGCCGCCGCGGACCCGCCCCTGGCGCCCGCGACGGCGCCTCTACCTCACCCCGTGCCTGCACCCACTGCAACCGTCCCTGCCCTACAGTGCGCCGACCCTCTGTAGCCGCTCTGCGGCTTTATCCCCGCCCCCCCCCCCCCCTCCCCCTCCTTCGTCTCCCTGCAGCCGTGGGGGGGAGGGTCTGGGGGTGGCAGGTGTGGGGGTGATGGGTGGTGTGTTTCCCTTCCCCTCCTCCTACTTTCGTTCCCACTGCTGCAGCTGCCGCTGGGGGGGAGGGTGTGAGGGTGTGGGGGAGCCAAGGGAGTGGCATTGGGGTGGCGGGTGTGAGACCAACCAGCCCCCGTCCCTCTGAGGTGAGGGGGGGGGGAGAGGAGAGTAAAGGGGTGGCAGGAGTGCCTGCCCCCTTGCGGCTGTACCTGCTCTGTTACCTTGCCTGCTGTTGCTGTTTTCTCTGTCTGTGGTGTACTCCTGCAGGTTGTGTTCTGCACAAACTCCTGCTGCAGGCAGTTATGGGGGAGTGTTAGAATATATCTGTAACTGCCTGTAGCTGTAGTTTAGTGTAGTTATTATAAACTGTTGGTGGTGCACCTTCTTTGCATGCTCTGTTTGCTATATGTACCCTAGTGCTATAGTGAACATTCATTCTCCTCTCCCTCCTTGGCACAAACTAGCTCGACTCCCCTTGGCCTAGGCTACTAAGCCTAGGCCCTCACTTAAACCTAGTCCTCCACTATTGCTATTATCTCGACACGATGTCGTTGTTGCCAATCGTCGCTGTGAATTCGACGTGACGATGGGCTTTGCGGGGCATGTTCATGCTTGGTGCGGCCCTGTTCCTCTCCATGCCAGGCATTGATTGGGTGGCGCCATCACTGGCTGCGTCTGAGCGCTGTCCCATGTTGTCGTGTTGTGACGGTGTGCCGGACGAGATGATGATCGGCTCATCTGATTGTGCAGGTGCATTTCCAGGTGTCGGTGTTGGTACTGGTCCATTCGACGTTGATTGCTGGCGGGCAGAGTCGCGTTCCGCCATGAGTGCCGCGATTTCGAGTGCCGAATCTTCGAGTTGGCGCACAAGCCGGTCGAGCTGCTCCTGCGTCAATGTCGCGAGATTGAATTCGGCCATGGCGGGGGTGTCGGGCAAATTCAGCGAGAGCCTCAGTCGTGGCCGTGCGTGCTTTCGAGAGAGCACTTCGAACAGCGGTGCCTGAACGCTGAGATGCGTCTCCCCCCCCCCCCCCCGCAAAATTGAGATAGTGGGAAAACGAAGGTGTGGGTGCGAGAATTTTCAGAGAAGAGTAGGTTTGATACCAAGTGTTTCGAGTGCAATTGAGTGAGCGAGCGAGAAATGCACTATCGAAGCAAAACAGTACACTGAGCGAAGGGGGTAATGTGTGAAAATGGGGTGGCCTAGTGCTGAGGCTAGGAACTGTCGAGGCAGAGGTCCGGAGCGCGGGTTACTAACCGAACCGTGAGGTTGGGTCGCGTTGTGAACAGTGGCGGGAACAGTACCGTCATCGCCCGGATATAAGACATGTATGTCTTATCTCATACATTAAAAAAATCAGTCTTATAAATGGACAAAAATCCGTTTAGAAGATACTTCCTCGTTATACATTTGCCATTTGCCCCTAAACACAAATAGGTGTCTTATAATGAGGCTACCCCGTTTATAAGAGACACCCGTATAATAGACAACCCCTGTCTACTATTCAACACTGTCTTATATCCGGGTGATGACGGTAGTCGAGGCAAGTGTCGCGATTGGTAATGGTGCACTGTTGGGAGTTGTTGGCGGGAACAGTGGTGTACGTGCTGAGCAGGGACGCGAAGGAAAAGGATATTTCCTTACATTGGGACTTCCTTACACTGCGGATATTACTGTACATAAAGCCAACAAATATCTCAGTCAGAGTAGTAATACTACCACTCAATTACCTTGCAGATCTACTGGTAAGTCATGGTATACGTACTAGCAAACACAAAATCAAGTTAAAATGAAAACAAAAGCAATGCTTGCAAATTTTCTACTGTACTTCGTCATTGGCATGACAACCAAGATCAGCTAAAGGATTAAACCAGAGCCCCTCATCAATTGTTATATCTAAGTCAAACAAAGATCCGTTGGCATCTTCTGTAACGTTGCTCCCCACAGGAGACGACTCACTAATATTCCCCACCTCCTCTTTGTCGCCACCATTATTGCAGCCCCCAAAAATATCTTCTACAATTTCATTAGCCGAGGCAAAGATGCCACCTTGAGCAGCTGTAAGACCAGGTTCTCTAGCAGCTTCAACTGAATCGCTCTGAAGCGAGGACAGATGAGCCATTATATTTGATGGTAGAGCTGATTCGTTAGCGGGAACGGAGGTGTAAGCAAGCCGAGCATGCTCACTTGAAAATCCCACTGCAGCACTCGAGACATGCAGAAATGGTGCAGCAGCCTCCACTGGTGGTAACTCTGTAACCATATCAACAGCCGAAACCACATTGTAACTTCTGTCCAGGTGGCGACGGTCCTGCTCCAGGTGGTTACCAGGAATCTCAGCCGTAACATTTGGCAGAGCATGAAATTTCTGAGTAACCTGAAAAGCATGGCCTGATGCTTGGGGAACAGATGAAGGTTGAAAGCAGGTGGGCGGTTTCAGGTTTGCTGGTCTCTGAGAATTCTCGAAAGCTTGACTCGCTGAAAAAGCCAGAGAAGCGCTTTGACAACCGGAGAGCTTCGGCAAGGCTGGTTCTCCTTGAGAGTTCCCAAACGCAGGCTCCCTTGTTAAACACAGAGATGCCATAAGCAGTGGTTGGGAACAGGAGGGCGGAGGCAGGCTCATGTGCTGAGCCGCTGCTGTGAGCAAGCCGTCTGGTGCTACCAGTGCTGCCGCTGCCGCCGCCGCCGCCGCCACCGCCACTGCTGCTGCTGGGGCTGTGATTTGAAATGTCTCAAAACGTTCCACCGTTTCTTGCGTTGCATCGGTGGGCGTGGAAAGGTGAGGGGGCACTCCGAGATTTGCTTCACCACAGCTGCAGCTGCAGCAGCAGTGGGCGGGCTTCGTTGCAGGCACGGGTACTGGCTGGCTCGGTGCGGGTGTATACGAGGCAGATGCATATGCAGGGGGTGAATATGGCAGGGTAGCAGCATCGCAAGCATGGGGAAGTGGTGGATGAATTGGTGGTGGTTGCTGGAGGAAAGGCTGAGACGAAGGTGAGAAGGTTGGTGGCGGCTGTACTGGGAGAGATGGAGGAGATGATTGAAACGATAGATGCTGCTGCTGTGGTGGTTGTGGCATTTGAGGCGTCTCAGAAGCTGGAGGAAGGGGAGGTAAGGGAAGGGTTTGCTGATGCTGTTGCTGCTGCTGCTGCTGCTGCTGCTGCTGCTGCTGCTGCTGCTGCTGCTGCTGCTGCTGCTGCTGCTGCTGCTGCTGCTGCTGCTGCTGCTGCTGCTGTTGCTGCTGCTGTTGCGGCTGCTGTTGCTGTTGCTGCTGCTGGAGCTGTTGCTGCTGCTGCTGCTGCTGCTGCTGCTGCTGCTGCTGCTGCTGCTGCTGCTGCTGCTGCTGCTGCTGTTGCTTTTGCTGTTGCTGCTGTTGCTGCTGCTGTTGCTGGGATGGTAGATGAGCCTGGTAAGGTGGTTGGAACCCTTGTTGCAGGTGCTCATGCTGGTGCTGATGTTGATGCTGCTGATAGGCCTGGTAACGTGGTTGAAATTGCTGCTGCTGCTGCTGCTGCTGCTGAGCATGGTAAGGTGGCTTGAACGGATGCTGCTGCTGCAGCTGTTGCAGGGAAGGGTACTGAGCTTGGTAAGTTGGCTTGTACTGATGCAACCCTGATTCTAAACATTGGGAGGTGCAGGAACAAACTGCAGAGGTGGTGAGATCAGGGCAGGGAAGAGCAGCAGTGGGTGAGTGAGGAAGAGCTGAGTGAAGAGGAGAATGGTGGTGTGGATGAGGCTGTTTAGAGGTTGCTTGTATAGGGGATGACTGGGGAGATGAGAGGACAGCAGATGCTGAAGCAGCCGGCTGCTGAGGAGAAGCAGGCTTTGGGATAGGAGGAATAAAAATCTCTGCTTGAACAGGAATGTAGGCTGCTGTTGGTGCTGGTGGTGGCAATTCTACCGGCGTGGCGGCTTCTTCGAAACACTGAGGAGCTGCGGGGAAAGGCTTAGCTTCGAAACCCGGTGATTCGGACTCGGATGGCGCAGCAGGAGAGCGAGAGCTTGAACGATGGTGTGGCTCCAATTGGTTTTGTGTCTGTATGCATTGGCTGGATTGCTGTTGCTCAGGCTTAGTCTGGTGCTGAGATTGCTGGCTAGATGTAGTATACAGCTGCTGCTGTCCATCGTCACTTCTGCAATACTGTCCGGGAGGAGGGACACCAGAAAATGCCAATGAAGCGGAGGAGTTAGGAAGTTTAGATATTATTTTGGATGGAGCGATTTTACGGTTTTGGTTGGAAATGTAGGTGTAGGGATTTTGCTTGCTGTCAGTGTAGTTGCTTGGCCGGTAACCAGCAACTCCGGAGGTATCAGAATCATCGTCAGGAGTGTCGCCAGCCACAGCTCTCGTCTTCGTGCTCGAAACATTCGCAGCTGCGACAGTCTTAGCGAGCGCCATCGCAACCATCGGAAGTTTCCGAAACCCGTGGTTAGGCTTGCGACGGGAAACAGGGGTCACTCCTTTATCGCTGTGCCCCAAAAAACTTGTCAACACACCAGTCGCCGGATTCGCCCGTAACAGACCACCCGTTTCGCTAACACTTGATTCCGGGGCAGCAGAAACGCCGGCGGTGGGAGTCGTGGGGAAAGCTGACGAGGGGTTGTGCCGCGGCGGGCTGTGATTGTGTTCTCCGGTGAACGAAACATGGAAACTCGCCGGTTGCGTGTCGACTCGCCAATCGACGGTTCGTTTCGCACGGCAAGGCTCTGCTCCTGCCAAGCCCGAACCCGCGCAGCGGAAGTATGACCTGATGGATTGAATAAAGGGAGGCATTCAGTACACCTGAGATGATTGTTGGTAACTTTCCAGAGAATGAAATAATCAACATATTTTGGCATGATTGCAGACTGGGCACTTACCGCAGGCAATTGGGCTGGTTCATGAGCGGTTTCTCGCCATATTTTAGCCAGGAATAACCATCCTCTGGTAGAAAAGTTGGCACGAGTGCAGCACGCAGCTTTTTTCCCTCGGCTTGACGAATCGCCTCGCTAGTGGTGGAACTATCTCCGCCGCTGCTTCCGCCGCCTTTCGGGGACCGTCGGCCCGCGCCGCAATACCTTGTGTTTCTTCCTCTTCCGGTGCACGTGCTATAGTACGATGCAGAGAAATGGGGAGAAGTGCGATGACGTGGCGATTTTGGCTTCACTGTGCCTAAGTTAGTCGCGCCGTCAATCGCGCCAGGACGAGCCGTGTCGCCACGAACTGCCGGAACAGAATTCGACGCTTTGCTAGAAAGGTCCGTGTGATTCTCCGTTTTATCTTCATCTAAGTTTTTCCGCTTCATTCTTAACACAGTTGCCGTCGTCGGCGCCGCTGGCGCAGGGTACGGCGCAGTCATCGGTAAAGACCACTGCGTCGCGAGTGCCGACGTCTCCTAAGTCGCATTTCTCGTGTTAGACGTTTCTTGATGAAGATTACTATGGGTCAGACTGCGACGCCACTACCTGGGTGATCGAGGCACTGTTTGTAAGTGGTATGGAGAAACTATGGTTGCTAGGACAATCATGGTCGAGTTTGTGCACATGTTGCTCGCCTTATGAGTGGTTCAGTTTGATTGAAAAAGCATGAACGACATCCGCCACTTGTTACCGCTTTAGACCGCGTTTTACCAAAGAAAAGTGTGCTGGAACAGTGGATAGATGAAGAGGGGTGCTGCACGCATAGATAAAGGCGAAGCGAAGTACTGTACAGAGCTACGTGTAATCTTGGAAACAAATGGCATTTAGATTCCCTATCGGGTACTGTATACTGTACACTACAAGGACAGCAAGGCCAGCACGGGCAGCCGGAAGGGGAGGGGGATCTCAATCAAGCTGCTAACGTTGCATCAGTACCATCGGGCACTGGCTCTGGCTGCGCCGTGCCAAACAATCACTCATCAGCTTTGTTGCTGTTGTTGAAAATGTGGTGGTCATCTCGTCGTGTCATGTCAGGATTGTCCTTGCCAGCGGTATGCAAGACTGTACGTACCGGCGGCTGTACGTACCGGCGGTTTAGTTGGGCTGGCTGCTTTGATTCGGCTGGGTTCGGCAAATCATCATGAGCAGCCAATGACACAGCCCCATTGCTGCTGACACAAAACACAAATTCGTCAACCCAACAACGGGGACGAATAAAATTCGCGAACTCAAAACACGGGCGTCATGGCAACAGTCGACGGTTTCTTCATAAATTACACCACACGATGCTTCCAATTCGTTTCCGTTTGTGATTTTCTTGTAGACCCAGTCTAGAACTGCAGAACAGCACAGAGTTCCCGTCGACATCCCTCCACAGCAGCCACAACAAGGGAAATGCACCTCACTCGCGGGAATTTTACCAGCGGACAGTATCCTCGGCCATCGCCTGGACGAAGGACAGCGCACTACCGTACAATACAAGCAGTGCGTTTTCCATTCTTGTTGTCCGTTACGACCGGCGTGACAAGGAACCACGTGCGAAAAGAAACGCGTGAAAATGTTTTGTCCTGGCTGACAATGGGAGGAAGCAGAAAACCACTTTGGAAACCCCTGACAAATCAACAGCAACTTCCACTGTAAGTGTCGGAAACTTGCAAGTCAGGAAAGCTGAGTACGGGAGGGTAGAGTGTTAGGGGAATCATTTTGCATTGCAATGTAGGTTCAGATTCTGGGGGTACAATGTAACCGCGTCTGGTTTTTCAAAAGGTTTATAAATGCTCGCCCGCTCAAAATTACATCCGTTCAAACCTTCCACCATGCCGCCCCTTCAACGAACTAGGTCACTAGCGTCCATCTTGAACGACCACTGTGGGTCCAGAATTCGCATCGCATCGCAACCACAAGTGAGGTTCTCAATCAGACAAAATCTGTGAGTGTGTCATTTGCCGAGAAAGGAGCCTACACTTTCCCGCTCACGGCCCAGTTCGGCAGCCACGGAAGAAAGAAAAAATTCGGGAACTTATACAGGAGGTCACAATTATGCCCGGTTTATCACGTTTGGTCACAGGGGTATCACAAACAGTCACAGTACAGTACAGATGTTCTCGTTTTTAGTCCGACGGATCAACATCACCACGCGCGGACTATGTGGCAAAACCTCCAAACATGTAAGGAATTTTCTCAGCATTCCTTACGAAGTCCAACTACATCGCGTACAGCAACAGCCGTTGTTCGCACGTTACTGCTAACGGGGCTTCGCCAACTTCGCGCGCACTGTTTTGCCAAACCTCGCACTGCTGGCCCGGCCGTGTCGGCCTACGCTTCGGGACTAGCCCGAGCCTCGCTGCCAGCGTAGCACTAGCTAGCTCGCACGCACCGCGTTACCGTTTGCATGTTTCGCGTATAAATGTTCGCTCATGCCTTCGCTCACATTTTGTACTCGTTTCACACTTTAGTGCAATCCTCGCTACCTCGATCCATTGCACCCGTAACACTTGGTATCAGAGCCTCTTTCTTTCGGACCGCGCATCTCCGCACCCCAGGAAATCAACTTTTGATTTTTCGCTCGAAAGGACTCACGCACCTTAGCACCTAGGAGCCGCTGTCCTCGCGTTCTCTCGTAAACGCGTGCAGCCACGACTGCGCCTAGACTAAGACGAGCTGACACCCTTCGAAATGGCTGAGCACATTGATATCACGACTCTCACGCAGGAGCACTTGAACGATCTGCTGCGACAAATCCGCGAGAGCGCCGAGGAAATCGCGACGTTGACGGCAGAACGCTCGTCCCTGCAACACACGAGCACAGCAAGCACAATATCAAGCACCTGGCACTCCGGAACAGCCCGCACCACAAGCATCACAACACGGAAGCGTGGGGCAACCCGCGAGCGCGGCCAGTGATGGCGTCGTCCGCCCCGACGGAGACGACGACCACGGCACGACACACCCCGAAGCGACGAATGCGGCCCGAAGCCAGCCACGCGTCACAATTTCGGCACCAACCGACGATTCGGCACTGCCGTCACCGATGCCGCTGAAGCCGCAGCGTCCGCCATGCTTCGATCCCAGTCAAAGGGGTGGTCCTACCATTCAGGCGTGATTGTTTACGATGAATGTATTTTTCGACGCCAACTACGTCTCGGAGGATACTGCGAAAATCCGCTAGGCCGTGTCGCTGTTGCGAGGACCCGCCATGGATTGGTGGCGCGTCATCGTCACGAAGCCGATGGACTACGCGAATCTACCGACACGGGAAGGACAAACCGGACCCTAGGCGCCGTCGTATTTCGTGGAGGTGCCCCAGTATCGCACGTGGGACGCGTGGTGCGCAGGTCTGCGCGCTCGTTTCGAGCCAATCGCGGCTTCGATCGCGTCGCGACAGAAGCTCCGCACTTGGCGCCAACTCGGTTCCGTCCAAGACTACACGAGCGGATTTCTGGCGCTATGCGAGCAGGTGGGATATATGCACGAGAGCGAGCGCATCGACCGCTACATCGGCGGCCTGAAGCAGGACATCGCTCAGGAAATCCAGCTTCGCGGCGTCACCGACTTTCAAGAAATTCTCGATATGGCGGAGAAACTCGACTTCTTCCGCCGACCGAGACCGGGGTCCTACGGAAGCAACCATTGGGGACATCGGTCTCGTGGGACGAACGAGAGCGCTACGATACGTGCCGTCGCCGCAAATGCCGCTGCCGCACCGTTCAAAGGGCGCTGCTTTGCGTGCAATCGGCCGAGACATCGCAAGAACGAATGCCCGGAAAACGCTAAGGGAAAGGGGGAAGCTGAGCAGCAGAAACAGACCAAGCAGCAGGGAAACGCTGGAAGTCAGTAGCAGACGG